TCCCATATAGACAATTATTTTTCAGGAGGCAAAGTAGTCACGAAGAACTTCTTTTGTCGAATTTCAGACAATTCCATTGAAAATTGTGGTTAAAATCATCAAAATACCCAATATCGGGGAGCACCGTTATATGGGGGCTATACGATATCTTGGACCGATAAAGTCCATCTTCGATCTTGACCTGCCTGCAGACAAAAGACAGATCTGTGCAAAATTGTAGCTTCCTATCTTAATTCATTTCGACTCTAGCGTAAATATAACTGACGGACAAGCGGACGAACGGACATGGCTAAATCGTCTTAGAATACATATACTTTAGTATGTCTAAAATTATTATTTCGAGTAGCTACAAACGGAATGTTGAACTTAATGTACCCTCCATACTATGGAGGTGGTGGAGGGTATAAAAATCTTCAGACAAATTGCTCAGAACTACGTTGGTCACACGCGTCTGAAAAATATTTGAGCAGACTCGACGGACTTCCGACATTTGGTTTGCTGGGTTATACCATTATATTAGGTTTGTCCAATGTGTGCGGCAATCTTTTGGGGTTTTTGTTAGTTCATTCATCTAACTTATCGGTCCAGCTGGAAGCATAAAATGTTGGCAAACACATGGTCTCTGGACAGTGAGCGGTGACACACATTTGTGTCGCCCCAAAAAAAAGATAAATGTTCTCGAAACCTTGACTTAATATTGTCATCATCATTATTGTTATTATCATTGTGCTAATGGATTTAGGTTTATTAATTATTTTTAATAGATGAAATATGGGAAATTTGTAAATCCATGTCGATTTTAATAGGATTTAATAATGTATTAATTTTTAAAAAAATATGATAGAATTTAAAGAATTCCTGTAGGTCCTGGAAATTTAATCAGAAACTTATAACTAAATACATATAATTTTGGTATACCAAGAAAACGCTTTTGGAATTTAGTTCCTGAGGTATTTTCAATTGGTGAGGGTTTGAATTCTTTTCATCGAACATCCATTGCTGCTGTATACATTTAAACAACAAACACAAACAAATTGATTATAAACAAATGAAAAGATGCCATGAGTCACTCGAACAAGACATAGGCCTACTTTTTATGGAATTTATTGTTGTTGTCGTTTTTTTTTTTTCAAAATTTGCATACGGTTGGCACAAATACTCACCCGCACACACACACGTACATACACACACTTGCTGAAATCATCATCAATGAAAATACAACAAATTGCCAACATCGACATGTTGTTCAGGCCTCATAATCAAACAACCCAACCACCGAACAGTTATCGTCGTATTTGGAATAGATCCATAAATTTTAATTGTCTAAACGCCTCGTTTTGGCTGTTGTTTTTCTTGGCATTGCCCGCCAAGAGAGGACTGCTCCTCCTTCTTGTCGTCGTTATGATATGTTTTTGTTGTTGCTTGACGATCGTGTGGCTCAATTAGATTGTCAATATATTTTTTTGAGGCGAAACAAATATGATTTACACGATATTGTTTTAATTGCAATTAATTTTGTAAGATTTTCATGTTTGTTGGTTTTTCTTAACTTTATTCCAGCGTTGAATTACAATTTTCCAATTCATTTGTTGTTGAGTTAAATTGAAATTATGATGGGATCACTAAAAAGAAAGGAATGATATAGGAATTGTAAGGTTTTGTGAAGAAAACTTAATACAGAGGATGATATAAGCTGTGGGTACGAAGCATACTTCTAAAAAAAATGTGAAGATCACTCTTGTATGGGATAAGGCGGAATTTGTGGAAACTCGTTATCTAAAGATACAAAAAGTATTGTAAAAAACCACGACTATTGTTTGCTCTTCCAAAAATATTTCTAAAAAATCTATGCCTTTTGATGGGCTTTGCAAAAATATTTCTTAAAATCTACGCCTATTATTTGACCTTGCAAAAATATTTCTAAAAAACCCGCCTTTTATGTAATCTCACCTTAAGAGGTACATAACGGCACAGCATTTTTATTGAAAGATTGACAAGACAAGATTAAAAAACTGCAACCAACTTCAGACTGCTGTCATTTCTAAGCCACTCGTTCGACAGCTGTTAAAATTATTTCAGTGACAGCTCATTATATTGTTTACAAGCGTACAAAAGCATTTTGGTGAGAATTTTCCGAAAAAAAAAAAACTTATTCGTGATGGAGTTCAAGCGTGATAGTGTGATTTCTTTATTTTTGGCTTGAAACCCACAAGCGGCTATCGTTAGAGCACTCCAGCATTATAATGTGAATAAATCGTTTGTGTCTTGTACCATCGCTCGTTACCGTGATAATGGTAGCATAGCCCGACGTCAAGGAAGTGGACGGAAGAAAACAGCAACATCAGCAGAAATGGTTCGAAAAGTAAAAAAACGACTTGGTCGAAACCCGCGTCGCAGTGGCCAAAAAATGGTTCGCGAGCTGAACATATCGCAATATTTCATTCGGCAAATATTAAAAAATGAGCTCGGTGTAAAGCCATTGAAATTCCAAAAAGTGCAAGAACTAACACCACAACAGAAAGAAAATAGACTCAAAAGAGCTAAAGAGTTGCTTCGCTTGGCCGAAAGTGGTGAACTGCCGAATTTGGTTTTCTCCGTCTTCGATGATAAAACATTCGTTGTCCTGCAGTTTGTAATCAAACAAAATGATCGTGTTTACTTGCCAAAGAGGTCAGCTGAAAATGTGCACCTTCGGTTGGCCACCAGAACTCTAGCGCCGGCCATGGTGATGGTGTGGGCCGCCATAACAGCCGATGGTCGCTCACCGCTCGTATTAATCAATCGAATCGGCATCACAATAAATACCGAATATTATCGCTAAAATATTTTGGAGGGTGTATTAAAGCCTTGGGCACGCAAACATTTTGGCCGCAGATCTTGGACATTCCAACAGGAGTCAGCACCATCGCACTCAGCACGCGCCTCCCAATAATGGTTACAAAATGAGTTCCTCGCTTTATTTCCAGCTCACCATGGTCACCAAAATCTCCGGATACAAACCGTTGAACTACGGTGTCTGGAGTATTTTGGAAAACAACGCTGGTACTAAAAAATACCAAACGGTTTCGTTGGCCGTTTGAAGGTCATAATTCGTGGCAAAGGTGACCAATTCGAACAAATCAAAAGTTATTCGAAAATTTGATGCTATTTCCGACATTTTTTTGCTTTCATTCAAAAAAATTTTAATGCCATTTGATTTTGTTGAAGGTTTTTTTATCTCACCCTGTAAATACATGTGGGGAAAAACGTCGAATTTTAGGTAACACTGTAAAATCGAAATCATTAAAAATAGCAAATATCGGTAGATACCGTTATATGGGAGGTATACGAAGACGTGGATCTGTATAGGAAATTGTAGTACCCATTAATTTCTTCCAATACGAAATTTGAAACGATTCTCGTGAATAATGTTGTTGAAATCATGAATATATCGGGAGGTAGCGTTATATGGGGGCTATACAAAGACGTCGACGTCGTCAAAAAAATTGTCATAGGCTTTAAATATGAAATAATTCCGGTAAATACTGTCGCTAAAATACGGAATATCGGGAGGTACCGTTATAACGTGGACCGACGAATTTTGAGCTGCCTACTGGCAAACTATGCATGTATGCAAAGTTTTAGCCTTCTATCTCAATTCGTTGCAAAGAGAGCGTGATTACAACAGAGAGACGGACAGACAGATAGACAGACGGACATCACTAGATCGACGGACATCGCTAGATCGGCCGGGCCGAACTTTTAATACCCTCCACCATTTGGTACAAATTTGGCAATTTCAAAAAACAAAAAAATAAAATCCGTTAAAAATTCTGTTAAAATCTTAAAAATGCCGAATGCCTTTACGACGACGTGGACCTGCATAGGCAACTTTTGTCATAAGTTATTACAATATTTAAATGCGAAACTGGAAGAAAAATCTGTTTATAAAATCATCAAAATACCGAATATCGGGTGTACCGTTATATGGGGGCTATACGAAGACGTGGACCTGCACAGATAATTTTCTGTCTTAGGCTGTAGTATCCATTACGAACTTCAAATGCCAAATTTGAAACAATTCCGGTGAATAATGTAGCTAAAAACATCAAAATACCGAATATCGGGAGGTACCGTTATATGGGGGCTATATGATAACTTGGACCTACATAGCCCATTTACGAACTTAACCTGCCTACTGGCAAAATATACATGTGTGCAAAATTTTATCCTTCTATCTCAATTTGTTCGAAAGATAGCGTGATTACAACAGACAGACAGACGGACGGACAGACCCACAGACAGACGGACATAGCTAAATCGTCTTAGAATTTTACGCTGATCAAGAATATATATACTTTGTGGAGTCTGACATGAGTATTTCGAGGAGGGTCAAACGGAATGACAAAATTAATATACCCACCATAGTATGGTGGAGGGTATAAAAAGGTAAAATTTGTTTATAATCGTAATCGTAATTTTGGTAATAGTAATTTTGGTTATTAGATAGATCGTCAGTTTAGGCTACACGATTGAGTTAAGAATTCTCCATGCACTATTAAGTGTTTCTATGATAACCTCCGAATATTTCTATACTCATATACCACTCTACATCGAACGAAGAATATTCACCTGAAATACCTTTGTAAACACCCTTTAAAAAAGTACTGGAACATGGCTTACAATTAAAAAATAGCAAATCCGAAATCAATGTCATTTTTAATTTTCAATATTTGTTTTTAATTTTTTTTTTTCAAATGGATATTGAAAAATTGTCAAGGTATATGATTTAAAAAAATCTATATTTAAAGCTTATTTTCTCTATTTCGCTGCAGATCTTTTAGTTCCCGCATCAAGGCCGTTAAGGAAAATTCAAAATTGCATTTGTCCATTTTTCGTTTGGGTTTCGTTAAGCGGAAACTTCTGAAAGCTCTGACTGTGTACGTGGTCACCGCTTCCATTTGTCAAATGGCTTCCAAGTGCAAGTGAAATATGGATACCCATTTAAAATTTTTTAGTAATTAAGTTTCTTATGCAAAGTTAGGAATTTTATTTATCTATACGAATGTATTATACATAATTAAGGAAATATGTTGACTATAAGGAGATTGCAGGACAAGTATAAATATCATAAAAAATTCCCAAAAATATGCTTTTATACGTTTTTGTTTTTAATATAAAATATTGGCTTTAAACCGCCATATTTTTGTCACTCTTCTATTTGGCTTCAAATATAACAGACCAGGATTTTTCGGCGTGTTGCAGCTTCTTGGGGGCATTTAAGGATTGCGTTTTTCTGGAAGAGGGAAGAAAGTATGATTACCTTATAGATTAAATTATTTGGGAGATTTTCGTGTATATATGGGAAACTGAATGCATTTCCAGATACAGCAATGTAATATCCTTGGCCTTGGTAATGCCCTAAATCTGCATATATTTTCACTTTTTATTCAATCAACCATAATCGAAGATTTTTCAACATTGCATTGTTACGTTGATGTGTATTTTACCTCAAATCATTCACAGCCCTTCGACAATCTTCAGGAATACACAATAGCTTAGGTTTGGGCCTCAGTTCAAATAATTCGTTGTTCAGATTGTGAGGAGTCACCGCATCGCTATTACGATCCCCAGCTGTGGATTGTGAAGATCGTATTTTTGGTACAGCCCCGTTTGACATTTTTTTCCAAATTTTTAAAAATCAAAATAACAAAATAATATGAAATGAAAAATATATTTTCCAAATGTGTATAATATTGAACATTCCTTTCGCCTTATATACAGTAAAATACGGATACATGAAATATGGTCCATTGTAGAATTAAGAAGGTAAAGTCATGAACAAATCAGATAAGGGAATCCGTTTTCTTTACAGTGAAATATGTGAAAATAAATTATAGAAATGGAAGAGATGTATATGCTTATTTAAAATAACTTTAACTTTTTAATTCGACCATGATGCAGTCCATGGTACAATGAAGAGAAGGTAGGCCAACTTTAAAAAATTTGCATGTATAGAGGTCTACCTGTTTGGCTTGTAATGTCAGAATTAGTATCAAAACAATAAAAAATCAAACAACTTGTTGAATTTATTTTAAATAAATAATTGAAAAACGCGATAACTGAATGAAAGGTCGACACTTCTTTTCAAAATCATGTACTATATATCTCTAAAGCATTATTTCGCTACAAAAACTCTAGATTTTGTCGATGCATACGTTGAAATAAACATTTTGAAAACACCCGAATTTGAATATTTTCTGAACAATTTTTTTGTTATTGAAAATAAAACACATACATAAAAAAATAAAGATGACATATTAAGCCGAGAAAATAAAAAAAATTAAAATCACATGGTATCATAGCCCTACCTTGATATCATTGTACCATGATGCAGTCTTTTTATATAAGAGATTTTTAAAGCGTAATCTGTATAGGAAAGATCCTTAAAGTGATTTTCGGACTGTAGAAAACCCTTAAATGGAACTCCCTCTCATTATAGAAAATCCCTATATGAACTTTTTCACGAAAGTCTTTCTATAGAAGAAGCTTAAAGATTTTTTCAAAGTATAGTAGAGCCTGTCTGTTTTCTACCCATTGGATATCTCACAAAGGTTTTCCGTCTATAGAAAAAATTAGTTACCGTATTCAGAAGAACCTTAAATAGGTCTTTTGTCGATCCAAGGACCTGTCGATGGCGAACCACTAACACATCTTCTGTTTCTAACGTATTTTGTTTTGAACAGGTCTTTGTTCTATAGAAGGTTCTATAAAAAAAATCTTAAAATCTTTTTTGGGTGTCGGGTATACCCTTAAAAGATAATCTGTCGATAGAAGACCAATTCTTGATAGAAACATTTTTAATGTAAGGAAGATACATTAAAAATGTAAAGCTTCAAAAATTAATTTTCTTGATAAAATATTTCTGAAAGGTTTTTTTTTTTTCACTTAAGACAACTTCCTACAGTTATTTTCTATCTAGAAGATAGGTATATTCTTTATAGAAGAACTTTGGGAGGTCCATTTTCTATGGAAGACCTTTCAAAGGTATTTAATGTATTTTGCTTATAAAAGTCCGTTAACGGTTGCCTTCTCCATGGAGCAGGTTAGTTAGAAAAGCTTTCGAATGTCTTTCTCAATATAAAATCAATCAAAAGTCAATCCTCTGTAGAAGGCCTTTAATTTTTTTTATCTTTAAAAGTCATTTATCTGCAGAAGACCTGAAAGGGGTATTTTCTCTTTGGAAGACTTTAAAGAGGGTTTCTATCAAAAGAAGTCTTTCCAGATGAGTTCTTTCACAGAAGAATGTTTTAGGGCTTTTGGAGTCGATCTAGCGATGTTCGTCCGTCCGTCTGTCTATCTGTCTGGCTGGCTGGTTCACACAATAACTCTCAAAGGAAGTTTCTGTTTTGATCCAAACTTGGTACATCGTAATAGTATTATCAAACATAGATCGAGTTCGGAGATGGGCAATATCGGTCCACTAATGGTACAATAAGAAATACAGCTCTGAGGCTATGCCCGCTTCCTGTCGGAATTATTCAAAATTATATGAAACCAGTTGTTTTTTTATTTATTTCAATTTTTTTTCTTATTTTCAAAATGATCTTATTTCAAAATGAATGATGAATAATGCGAAGAATTAATGATGTGCCTAGATTTTAGGTAAAAAATATGATCCAGAGTGTCCAATCTTTCAATTCCATTGCAAAACTGTTTAATATCTTTAAAGCGCGGCCAACAATCTACGTTCCTTCCAATAATTTTTTTTTTTTTGTTTGAAAATATTTTGTTTTTATTTTTTCAAAACAATAAATACATACACAAAATTGGCAGAAGTTGGGCACACTCAGAAAAAATTGTAATCAGGTGGTAGCTCTACCTTACCTTTTTATTGTACCATGGGTCCACTCCTTCTGGTACATGCCCCACAAAAGTTCGAAATTTTCAAAAAAAAAAATGTGTTACTTCACAGAAAGAGAAAGGATGATCCGACTTTTCTCCACCTTTGCAAATCCTAATATTTCCATCAATGCTACTTTAGAGGCGAAAATGGGCAGAATCGCTCCACTCCATCAAGTACCTCCCCCACAAGGGCTTATATTTTGAATAATTATAACTCTTATAAAATATGTTGTAAGAGTCTGATTGTCTCCAAATTACACAGATCACAATATTTTTATTAACCCAAGGTCTGGTGTAAAGATGGAATATGTCGGTTCACTCCATCTGGTAACTCACCCACAAAGGGTCAAAAATTGAAATATCCACGTAACTCATAAATCGCGAAATTAACATCCTATTCCTTTCAGACTCGGCACATCTCAATATGCTCATCAACACAAGATATTTTATAAATATGGTAGAGATCAGACCATTTATTCTCGAACCTCACCCACAAAGTGTCAAAGTTTTGAATAACCGAAACGATTATAAAATCCGAAATAAGCACCCGGTTCTCTACATATTTCACACATCCCGTTATTACTACTAACACAAGATCTGCTATGAAGATGGGATATATCGATCCACTCTTTCTGGTCAAAATCCGAAATAAGCATCCAGTTCTCTTCAAATGTTACACACACAAACATTTTGCTAACACAAGGTCTGTTATGGAGATGATAGATATCAGGGAACCACTTCTGATACCTCACCCACAAAAGGTCACAATTTTCAATACCTGCGAAGCAATTAAGCGATTCTTTACAACTTGCTATATCTTAATATTTCTCTCAAGCAGAAACCTGAGATGAATATGGAATTTATTTTATTCTCATAAAATTGGATTCAAATGTTCGATTTTCTTGTGAATGAAATACTTATTCGACTACATCGCGCCCATTTCAAAATTTTCTTAAAATTATAAAGTGAATATAGTCCAAACCTGGAACGTCCTTTAAGTCCGATACGAAATGGACAATATTGGCCCATGCCTTCGGTACCTACTCAAAAATACCTTGTCAAAAATTTGAATAATCATAACAGAAGTCAAAATACACATATTTAAATAATCGAACATTGGATGAGGGTATACATCTGTCAGCAAAACCGACTGGTAATTTTTAACTTCTTTCATTGGACAATCACTTTTAATTCACAGTGTGTTTTTTGGAAGTTTGGAAAATTTTCAAAAATATTTCCCCCTATCGAAACTTCAAAATACATTTAATTTTTTTGCCTGTCAAACTGAAGAAACTCTCTCAAAAAGAAAAAAAATACAATTAATTGAAAATTTCCTTGAAAATGGCCCGTTCCAGCCAAGTTGTTGCAGGAATCCTTTTAACACCCTATGTGGCATGTGGTGTGGCTTTGTGCCTACTGATCTTGGATAGGCCACATTGTGATTCGACCTATTATTTCTCGGGCAGTGCAGATCCTGAAGGTGGCGGTGGTGGTGGCGATGCTGCAGCACCTGCAGATGAAGCGGGTTTGGTAGCTGACAATAATGCCGCTATTCTCCCACCGCAAAAATATCTCGATCAGCGTTACTGTGCTGGTGGCTATCATGGATTGTTGTGTGTCATTGGAACCCTTCTGATGGGATTTAGTGAGCCCACAATTTTTAAGAAATAATTGTATTTCTCAATTTTTTCAAAATCTTTTAGCCATCATAATCTATCGCCTATTGATTGGGACACGCACCCGAACCGTGAAATACATCCATTTGCTGCTGCACTTGATCACCCTGTCGCTGTTCGTTGCCAGTTTCTGGTGTGTTGAGTATCACATGCACAACATTTTCTATTACAGATTTGAAATTCACACCGTAACCTCGTTGGTGGTCTTTCTCATATTTCTCATTCAGGTTGGGGAGGACGTTCTCATTGAGATTTTTAATAATTTTGTAATAAGTTCTCCCTTTTACAGTTCATTGTTGCTGCCATGATCTTCACCTATTTGTATCCGAATACCAAATTGCGTCTATACTTCGCGCCCTTCCATGATATTCTTGGCATTTGGCTGTTCATTTGTTTTGTGTCCTGTCTTATCTCGGGCAAACGATATGCCCAAATGGATTATGTCGCCTCCAATCAGATCCTGTTCTATGGCTTGTCTTATACAGCATTTACTTTCATTCTCATTGTCATTCTGAGTCCTTTCTTTGAATGGGATATGGTGAGTAGGATAAGAGGATTTTGAGTTAAAATAATTTAATATCAATTTTTTCTAATGCAGGTCGGCCCTTTGTAAACATCATATTGTATAGCAAGTAGTTTTTTTTAATGAGTTAATTATATTTTTCAATAAATGATAGATTTTTTATATAAATTGTTTTAAAATTTTTAATAGGATTTATAGTTTGGGTTGTCTGGGATACCATAGTTTGGGTTGATGACCCACAACCCAAAATATTGTTGTTTCTTAGAAAAAAAATTAAAGACAAAAAATTATGAAAATTGGCAATAGATTTAGGAAAAGGTATGGAAAAGGAACAAGGTCGTTTTACCCCTCCTGGTACTTCCTCTCTCCAATTCACTCTCATAAACCACGTACTATTTCACCGATCGTCTCCAAACTTCGTACATCTCAATATTTTATTAAAAAAAGATATGATATAAAGATAGAATATATCGGTCTACTTCTTTTTAAGAAATCTACTATCTCGTAAAAAGTGGGTTTAGATCGGGTGCGGAAACAGACAATATCGATCCAATCCTTCCGATATCTCCTTCCTTTTGGTTTCTCATAAATTTCCTCAAATGTTGTAAAATATACCAAAAAGGGAAAGATGACATATATCAGTCCACAGCCCGATTTCAAGAAAAGCGATAAATTAAAAAAAAACATTAAATTATTTTTTAAATTTCGTTGCATTAGATTTTTTTTTTGAAAATAGAAACTCTTGTGGTCCTCCCTTACAGAATTATTATTATTTTTTTTTATTTTATTTTTATTTATTTATTTTATTATTATTAGTATTATTATTATTATTTATTTATTATTATTATTATTATTTTTTTTTTTTTTTGATTATTTAAGGCCCTTTGGAACCATTTATGGCATTTTTGTCGGCTTTAAAATTTTTATTAACAATTACGTAGAATATGGGAAACATTAATAGCCATAACAATCCGTCCAACATAAAATTCATTGGCAGTCATGTTGGTATTCAACATTAAACTAGTTGTTCTATTTTGTGGCATACTTTTAGGCGATTTATTAAAATCAATCTCTTTCAACAGTATTGTACATAATTGTTCAAATTATATACTCGAAATTGATGTAAGTAAAATTTGTTGATAGAAAAAATAGAACCTGCACCCGTCTATACAAATTAAAAGGAAGAAAATATTTGGAGGGAATGGAATGGAGTTATGCTATGTAAAATGTACATCTTCAATTGTATGAATCGACAGCGAAGAGTTCCGATGATATTTTTATACCCTCCACCATTCTATGGAGGGTCTGTCTTTTGTAATCACGCTATATTTCGAACGAATTGAGATAGAAAGCTAAAATTTTGCACACATATTTAGTCAAGTTCGTTAATGGGCCATTTAGGTCCACGCTTTTATATAGCCCCCATATAACGGTAACTTCCTATATTCGGCTTTTGATGATTTCAGCGACATTACTGACCGTAGTAGTTTCAAATTACGTATTTAGAGTTCTTAATGGGAACTACAGTCTGTCTTCGTTTAGGCCCTATATATCAGTACCTCCCTTCATTCGGTATATTGACGATTTTAGGTACAATACTCACCGAAATTGTTTGAGATGTCGTATTTAAAGTTCGTTATGGAAGCTACAGCCTGTGACAGAAAATTGTGTATGCAGGTCTAGGTCTTTGTTTAGCTCTGATATAACCATACCTGCCTATATACGGTATTTTGATGATTTTAGCTACATTAATCACCGTTTATTTCAAGTTTCGAATTTGAATATGGCAATGGCTTATAAGCCACGTCGTATAGACCCCAATATAACGGCTGTATTCGGTATTTTTAAGATTATAACAGAATTTTTAAAGGATTTTATTTTTTGAAAATGTCCAGATTCGTTCAAAATGGTGGAGGTTATTCAAAGTTCGGCCCGGCCGAACATACTGCTTTTTAACTTGTTTAAGAGTTGTAATTATTCCACGTCTTGAAAAATTATATTTTTTTGAAAATGTTGACCTTTTGTGGGTGACGTACCAGAAGGAGTGGGCCAATGTTGACCATTTCCGAACTTGATCTAAGTGTAACAAAAAAATTCCGATATACCAAGTTTGGACCAAATCATATATTCCCTTAGAAAGTTATCGCGCGCACCATCCAGACAGACAGACGGAAAATAACGAAGACGAGGACCTGCATTCGCAATTTTTTGTCATAGGTACATTAGGATCTTCAAATACGAAATTTAAAACAATTCCGTTGAATAATGTCGTTAATATCATCAAAATACCGAACAAGGGAGGTACCGTTATATGAGAGTATACGAAAACGTGTAGAATTTTTTGTCATAGGGTGAAGCATCCATTACGAACTTGAAATACCAAAAATTTGAAACCATCCGGTCTATAATATCGCTAATATCATCAAAATACCGAATATTGAGAGGTACCATTATATGGGGGCTAAACGAAAACATGGACCGACATGATACATTTACGAACTTAACCTGCCTGCTGAACAAAATACATATGTGAACAAAATTGTAGTCTTCTATCTCAATTTGTTCCAAAGATAGCGTGATTTGCGACAGACGGACAGAACGGTGGAAATCGAAGAATTTTAGAATTAGATTAGAATTTTACGCTGATCAAGGATATATATATATACTTTGTTGGATCTAGCATGAGTATTTCGAGGAGTTACAAACGAAATTACGAAGTTAATACACCCTCCATAGTATGGTGGAGGGTATACAAACTTAATTTCCGAATTTTCACTATGCTTTTGCACTAAATACGATGAGGCAGCATAAAATATCTTTTAGTACTTTTAGTGCCCCTTTTGTACGATTTTTTACAAAACAGGACATTTTTTGCTCTCACGTACCTAAAGTGACCAACATGTCAAATTGGAGGTTTCTAGCTTTACCCGATCGCCAAATACCATAACTCACATTTAGAACCATATCCTACCCCTATATACTAAGACGATCTAACATGATATCATTCAAAATTCCAATTTTATTTGGTACGGCAATAAGTACATTCTACTCGTTATTTTGATAGCCTTTCATTTCGGTGTTCCAAAATTCAGCCATATTTCACAGCAACAGTAACCCATGTTCAAAATTCCTAATTTCTAGATTTGTTCCTTCGCTTAGTACCAGTTATGTAACTTTAAGCCTCATTAGTATGATCTTATATCGAATTTCCATAAACTCAGGTTTATCCCCCTATCTATACAAGAAATGTAACCCCCAACCTTTAAGTTTCTATCTTTACCTGATCTCATATTACTAAATCACAGGATTTAGTACTATTTTAATGGAAATTCCAGATAAGCGAACTTATCTCAGTCTTCCATAGAAAATTTTAAAATTCTAATCTCATCCATTCGTAAGTCATGGCACCACATTTAGTACCTCTCAGTACTGTTGGTAAGCTTTTACTTCAACTTTTCCCAAAAAAATAACCCGTTCTTGTAAAGAACCATTTTTTTCCTTTGAAACGAAAATCCCAATTTGTCACACCAACCTACCGCAGACAAAATGTCACCATGCAGTTGATGTTGATTTAGCCATTTCAGCTACCCATAATTCAATGGATAAACAAATAACAAACACACCACACAATCAGTCGGCCAGTCAGTCAGCCCTCGACAAGAGACAAATTATTTCTGGCGGCAGCAGTTTCCAAGTGTTTTTATAGCCATTTGTCATACAAATCTAAATGTCGAGCAAGTCAAACAAATCGTATCAAACGAAATCGAAGTAAATCATTCGTTCAATCGCGTTTTAATGACCCGAAACAAAAAAAACATCACTACCATGAAGTGTACTTCAAAAAAAAAAAAAAAAAACACAAATTAATTGTAAATAAATCAAATTTACACACACACACACATAGTGCCAATATTACCTTGATTTTGCCGATATTTTTGGCAAATTGAATTAAAATCCGTCGCATTTTTTTTTGTTTATTTTGCCGAACAATTGAGTCACAAAGCTCAGTTGTATTTTTTTACGGATGTCCAATTTGTGAACTGCTAATGATGACCGCCAATTTTTTTTTTTTTTGCGGCAACCTTGCCTTAAGCACCACATCTGCTAGTGTTGCTGTTCTTCTTGTGGTTGCTGGTGCTACTCCAATTCCAAGATGAAACAATGAACGGACATACACACATGTCAATGATATAGCCTAAATCGCAATGTATCACTTACGCAGTTCACCGTTAAATGATTTTTAATAAAACCCCAAGAAGGCGACAGACCATTGAGAAGAATCAGGAAAATACCCCCATGACAATCAGCTGAAGTTTGTTGTCCATCAAAATTTGTTATGGCCATTATTCACTTCAAAATAAAATTTAAACTACTTATTGAACACTTGAACATTCCAATACCACCAAATTCAGAACATTTACTTGGTCATGGTAGGAAATACACAGCGACATTTTTATGCCCTACAGTCAAACATTTGGAAAATATGATTTCCTCACAGGTCGTGGACATTACTTGAGGGTCCTTAGGGGAATTCGCTGATATTTTGAGATTTCAATCATACCTCCCAAAAAGCTCACTCGAATTCGAGTGAAGTGAGAAACTCACTTCTAACATTTCCTCTCGCGAGAACGAATCGCTGCCGTGCGAGCAAATATGTGCTCTGATTTTAATAGACCTCCAAATGGACAAGAAGTCCATTTGAAGTTTATACAGATGTGACTGGCAGTCTTTTTGGCTGGCAGAATGGCCTTCCAAGAGAGCTCCCGATTTTGGCCAAATTTTTAACTTTGCAATAATTTTATCAACCGTAGAACGAAAGTCCTTAAAGAATGTATTAAAACAGGTTATATAGTATCAGTCGAATAGATGTATACCCCCAGCATTGAGTTATGATTATTCTAAACGTTGACTCTTTTATGGGGGAGGTTCGGAAGCAGTTGGCCAGTAATTTCCAATTCGTATCTGACCTAAGTCTGATATAAATATTACAAAGTGCGATACTTGGACTATATCTTATACTTCCTATACTTTATATGAGATATGTGAAAATTTTTGGACATTTGCGTGAGGTATCTACCGATTTTTGCCAAATTTTGAACTTTGCAATAATTGTATCAACCGTAAAACGAACGTCTTTACAAAATGTATTCAAATAGGTTATATACACTATCAGTCGGATAGATGTATACCCCCAGCCTTGAGTTATGATTATTCTAAACGTTGACCCTTTTATGGCGGAGATTCGGAAGCCAATTGGCCAATATTATCCAATTCGACCTAAATCTGATATAAATATTACAACGTGCCATATTTGTACTATATTGTCTACTCTCTATACTTTATATGAGATATGTGCAAATTTTTGGAAAAGTGGACATTTGCATCAGGTATCTGCAGGATGAGATAAAAAACTGCAACAAAGTCAAACGCCATAATTTTTATTTTTTTTTTTAAATTTCATTGAATAAAAGCAAAAAATATCGGAAAATTTTAGAATAAGTTTAGATTGGTTCGAATTGGTCACCTTTGGCACGAATTATGGCCTTCAAACGGCCAATGAAACCGTCACACGCTGCCCGAATGTTGCTCTGCGGTATTTTGGCCCAATCCCGGCGAAGCGCTTGCTTGAGGTGATCGACACTTTGGTATTTTTTAGTGCCAACCTTGCTCTCAAAAATACTCTAAACACAATAGTCCAACGGATTGGTATCCGGAGATTTTGGTGGCCATTGTACGCTTGAAATGAAGCGAGGGACCTTATTTTGTAGATTTTTTAGATTTTTTTGAATTGGTCACCTTTGACACGAATTATGGCCTTCGAACGGTCAATGAAACCGCCACACGCTGCCCGAATGTTGCTCTGTGGTATTTTGGCCAATTCCCAGCGAAACGCTTGCTTGAGTTGATCGACACTTTGGTATGTTTTAGTGCCAACCCTGCTTTCCAAAATACTCAAGAGTCCAACGGATTGGTATCCGGAGATTTTAGTGGACATTGTGCGCTGGAATGAAGCGAGTAACCTCATTTTGTGACCATTCTAGGGTGGCGCGTGCTGAGTGTGACGGTGCTGAGCCTTGTTGGAATGTCCAAGGACTGCGGCCAAAATATTTGTCATCCCAAGGCTTTAATACACCCTCCAGAATATTTTCGCGATAATATTCGGCATTTATTCTGATGTCACGGTCGATTAATACGAGCGGAGAGCGACCATCGGCTGTTATAGCGGCCCACACCATCACCATGGCCGGCACTTGAGTTCTGGTGGCCAACCGAAGGTGCACATTTTCAGTTGACCTCTTTGGCAAGTAAACACGATTATCAAACAACTGGACAACGAATGTTTTGTCACCGGAGACGGAGAAAACCAAATTCGGCAGTTCACCACTTTCGGCCAAGCGAAGCAACTCTTTAGCTCTTTTGAGTCTATTTTCTTTCTGTTGCGGTGTAAGTTCTTGGAGTTTTTGGAATTTCAATGGCTTTACCCCGATCTCATTTTTCAATATTTGCCGAATGGAATATTGCGATATGTTCAGCTAATGAACCATTTTTCGGCCACTGCGACGCGGGTTTCGATCAATTCGCTTCTTCACTTTTCGAACCATTTCTGCTGATGTTTCTGTTTTCTTCCGTCCACTTCCTTGACGTCGGGCTACGCCACCAGTATCACGGTAATGAGCGATGGTACGAGACACAAAAGATTTATTCACATTTAAATTCTGGAGTGCTCTAACGATAGCCACTTGTGGTTTTACAGCCAAATATAAAGAGATCACACTATCACGCTTGAACTTCATCACGAATAATTTTTTTCTTGAAAAATTTCGCCAAATTGCTTGTGTACGCTTGTAAAGTATGCAATGAGCTGTCATTGGAATAATTTTAACAGCTGTCGGACGAGTGGCTTAGAAATGACAGCAGTCTGAAGTTGGTTGCAGTTTTTCAGCTCACCCTGTATATATCTTAAATGCACGGATTCCGAAGAATCTAATCGGAAAATTTCCAAAAGTGTGGAAGAGAGAGGAACTTGACCCCGTCTATTTAGGTTGCTGTGCGATGTATACTTGTCGATACACTTGTTTTCTTTTTTTAGCTCTACTTTAATAATCTGCTGAATTTTCGCCATATTTATTGAAAATTTTGAATTTTGCCGCACAGTGTAATTACTTCTGTTTCGATTTATCAAAATTATTGGTGAAATGCTGCAACGATTTTAAAATTAAGGATTTTAACTTTTTTCTAATGTCTGTCATAGACCGTATTATACGGTAAAAACATAAAAATACTACACAGGGCTAGGCATTTCAAAGGTCTGTCTATAACGTGGCAAAAATTTTTATTTATTAAATTTTTTTAACTCTTAAGGTTTTTTTTTTAAATTCTCACATAACCCTAATTCTCATTCTTACAAAAATATTCCCCAGTAAACATCCACTTATAACTATCGACATTGCTATGTTTCGACAATTAATTCTGAGATGTCATTGACATGTCATTTTTTCAAGTGCTCGAAGAAGAACCTCACAACCTACATCAACGCGTTTCAAATTGAAGAACTAGAAGTGAACTTTGTCCTAACCTCACCAATTGTAGGGCATTCCCAATGATAAGTTGTTTTGCTGGCTTAGCACACCAAAAACCGCTTAGTAATAAATAATAATATTTAATAGCAACATCATTTGAATATTCCGACACTTGTCCAAGAGGTAAAAAATAATTGACAAACACGAATTAAATGCTGACATTAACGGAGCGATCAAGAAAACCATTTATGTGCAAAAACATCGAAGACACACTTATCATTGTGTTCAAATAACAACTGCGATGTTAACAATTGTTTCATTGCTGCACAGTGGGAGATTTTGTGAAAAGTTGGTTTTGTTGAGGGAGGGTTGTAAAAATAAGATCATATTGGTGGTGAATGATCAAATCGAAATCAATCTAAGTCAAAATTTTCCTCATTGTGCATACTTTACATTATGCTTACATAAAATACCATCTGTCGGGAGGTTTTCCACCCCCGGAGAAATGAAAAAAAATGTTCAGCCAAATCGAATGGAATCAGGGGTTCATTTATATTATAGCTTTAAAAAGATCTGGGCCTATAATTATAACTCTGTGCAACTAAAAAATAATCACGAGGAAAATCGGCGTTTTGAAAGTTTACATCGAAAAGGTACCTAAATAGAGGGGGCAAGTTCCCCTTTCCAACACTTTTATAAATTTTCGCATTAAGATTCCTCGGAATCCGTGCATTCTAGATATTCGTGCATTCTAAATATTCAGGGAATATTTTGCCCTCAAGCGAAAATGTTTAAAACCACCCTTTAAACGTGATCGTACCAAGATAAAATATTCCACAAAATGATTTATCACGAAGACGTTGACCTGCATGAGGAATTTTCCATTATAGGCTGTAGTACCCATTAGGAACTTTAAGATCCAATTTCGAAACATTTCCCGTGAGAAATGCGACACAAATCATCAAAATACCGAATATCTGGAGGTACAGTTGTATGGGGGCTATATGCAAGGATGTTTCTTAAATAATGGGAACACATGCTGCCAATTTACAGCAAAATAGGGTTCAAATTGTGACGTAAACACCCCAAACAAAAACCTTGAATCTTTCGGTAGTTATATTGTGGATATAGCATAACGTGGAGATATATAGCCTATATTATATGTCAAAAGTCCTGCAAACCTAACACACATGTGAGTAAAATTTTATCAAAATACTTCACCTCGTTCGGAAGCTAGAGTGATTTCTACAGACGAACAGGCAAATAGTCGGACGGGCATCGGTAAATCGACACATAATTCTATGCTGAATATATGGATACCATGTGTGGTCAAAAATTTGTTCGAATCGGTCACCTTTGCCACGAATTATGGCCTTTAACCGGCCAATGAAACCATCACAGCGCTTGCTTAAGGTGATCGACACTTTGGTATTTTTTAGTGCCAACCTTGATTTCCAAAATATTCCTGACACAATAGTCCAACGGATTGGTATCCGGAGATTTTGGTGATACTTGAAATGAATCGAGGAACCTCATATTTTCTTCCGTCCACTTCCTTGACGTCGGGCTACGCTACCAGTATCACGGTAACAAGCAATGGTACGAGACACAAAAGACTTATTCACATTTAAATGCTGGAATGCTCTAACGATAGCCACTTGCGGTTTTCCAACCAAATATAAAGAAATCACTCTATCACGCTTGAATTTCATCACAAATTACTTTTTTCTGGAAAATTCTCACCAAAATGCTTTTTTACGCGTGTAAACAATATAATGAGCTGTCGCTGGAATAATTTTAACAGCTGTCGGACGAATGGCTTAGAAATGACAGCAGTCTGAAGTTGGTAGCAGTTTTTCATCACATCCTGCATTTCGGGGTTTTACAAACGGAATTAGAAATTTATAGCCTGTTCAGCAAACTTATTTTTCTTCCAATTGCTCGGCAAATGGCAGACGATTAGAATTTTTGGTTTTTGTATGTAAGTAAACAAAAAGAGCTTTTTTCAATAGGCAATTTTTGGTTCACCAAACTCCAACACAAACAAACGAAATGTCAAAGTAGGCAATCAAAAAATACCAATCTATTCACAAAAGTTTTAAAAATTGAAGATATTGGGTGTAAAATGGATATTTATACTAAAAAAATGTAAGTATTTAAACATTAATTTATAAGGAAATTTCAATCTTTTAGAATTAAAAAAACAACTCCTGGTCAGTTTCGGATCTTGGGGGAATCTATTGACGAATTCCCAGAGCTAGCAACTTCAAGCCCGATATTTGGGAAGTCGAAAGTCGAAATTGAATCCAAATGGGATGTTGTGGCACAAAAAATAAATTCGGTTGGACCTCCAATGCGAAGTGAATCTGATTGGAAAAGGGTACACTAACAGCCATTTGTTTTACAACAGTATTTAAAACGCTTAGGTTTTAGATATGGGCAGATATGAAATGTAGAACGAAGGCCAAAATAACTGAAAATATAAAGCAAATGAAAGGCACAGGCGGAGGACCTTCCTATCAAAATTCGTTGACAGATATCGAAAGGGATATCGATAGGATATGCCAGCTATCAAAAGCCGCATCACCTGATGGAATAACCTTCGGTACAAATAGGAAAGAGCCTCTTGTTTTGGAACTTACGCCACCCAAACCTTCAACTATCGTTGCTGTTGTTACTCCCACAACTTCAGACCAATATTCAAATACAGCACAAGCGACATCAACCCCTATCAAAGTTATGCCGAAAGCAAACCTTTGCAAAAACCAACAGAAACGAAAGATCGCAGAAAAAGAACAAGGGGCAGAAATAAAACTTTTAAAATTACAATTGGAGCAGAATAATGCTTTGGTAGAAGAGATGAAGGTGCAAACAAAAACACTCAACTCGCTGGCCAATTCTCTCCAAGGCATTCAACATGTCTTGCAACATTTTTAAAAACTGAATGAAAATAATTGTGTTAAGACATTTTTTAATCAACTAATCAATTTTATTGTTTCCCTATTAATTTAATTTTAATAAAAAAAGAGCTTAATTACATTTTATTATTTCTGTTTATTTATTTAATTATTTTTAACTATTTAATTTAACAGATTTAAAGCTATTTCGTCTCTAATTGTAATAGCTGCCGTTTCATCGCCAGAGGAAAAACTACCTAAATCTTCATTTTCATTTTGGAACATAGCATCACTTGGTAACAAATGGTTCTTATAAAATATACATATGTTGTGCAAAGCACAACACGTGTTTATAATTTGTGTTGCTTTGGCGGGACTGTAATGCAACCCTCTCGATCCTATGATGCACCTAAACCTATTCTTTAGAACACCAAAACACCGTTCTACAACATTTCGAGTTTTTGAATGTTTCTTGTTGTAGTTCCTTTCGGTGGCATTTGAAGGATTCCGTCATATAGGGCTGAAGTTTGTATACAGAGTCCCCTTCAAGTGAATTTTAGGAAAGAATTTATTTTGGTGTATGTGTGTATTAAAAAAGGCAACTATAAATACCTAACAGCCATGTATTCCTCTTGCCTCGAATAAAATTATTTTTAAAATGATCATGTGCATCGCTCTGGTCCCACACAAATGCATCGTGATTTGCACCTGGATGTCTAGCATCTACGTAATTTATTACCATATTATGATCGCATATCTGTAATGAATAATACAAATTAATAGCATATTTTCATTACATAGCTTTGAAAAAAACTTACCACCATTACATTTATGCTGTAGTAACCTTTACGGTAATAATATAAATGCTGTTGTTGTTGCCCAGGGGACTTTATTCGAACATGGGAGCCGTCTATGCATCCTACAACTCCTGGTACACCAGCGCTGTTGAAAAAGCTTTGTTTACATTCGTCTTCCTCACCTAATGTTTTTTGTAAACGAATCCATTTAGCACATATGTGCTGCTCCACAATGTTCAAGCATTCGCTTACCACCTCCGAAACTTTGGCCTTTGACATATATGAGACACTCTCATTTCCAACACAAAATTGGTAGCCACCACTTGCCAAAAATTTTAAAAATGTTGAAACTTTTACGATTGGTGGAACACTGCTGCTCCTGGTATTCCGTTTCATTTGTGGCTCCATTTCACCCAACAGCATCAAAAACACATCCTTACTTACTCGAAAATTGGCAATAAATCTGAAACAAACAACAAAAGTTATGGTCCATTTCATCCGCTTTCCTGGATCCATCCAAACACTTACCTTTCTTCTGGAAGTTCCAATACGTTTGTGGCATCGAGCAATTGACGAAAAAGATTGATATTTCCGTCACCCCTATTCATACTTTATTTAAAATGGAAAGTCCAAAACCAACGGAGGCAATCATTTTTAAAAAATATAAACAAATTTTCTTTTTGGAAACATAAACAAATTTTTGACAGAAGGGCAATAAGTAAAAGAGCTTTTTTCCCAGACGAAAAAAGTAAATGAACTAAAATAAAAACTTTATTGTCTGGGTAGCAATTGTTTGTCTGCCTTACACAAAAGTTCTGTGAACAGGCTATTAATATACCCTCCATGCTGAATATGAAAATGGTCCTAATCCCAAAGTCAATTGTTTTTTTCCCCTACTTTTAAATAGGGAGAACTAATTTTTTATACCCTCTGCGTATAGCTAGAGAGGGTATATATACGTAAAAAGGTGTCTCATTGAAATAACGGTTTTAGACCCTAGGTCTCTTTGTACCAAATCCAGGACATTTGGAGTCGATCAAGCAATGTCCGTCTGTTTGCTGGCTGGCTGTTGCGTACAATAACTCTCGAAGAGAGTATCCAATTGGGTCCAAACTTGGTACATAGCTAGATTATTATCTAGATCGAGTTCGGTTCGGGGGCAATATCGGTCCACACGGAGAAATTTTCAAAAAAAAAATTATTTTACTGCACAGAAAAAGAAGGATAATCCGATTTTTCTCCAACTTCGAAAATCCTAATATTTGCAGCAGTACTAGGATAATATCGGTACACTCCAACAAGTACCTCCCCCAAATGGTCAAAATTTTAAGTAATTATAACACTTATAAAATGTTAAAAGTCCGATTGTTTTCTAGTTACACGCATCACAATATTTTTATTAACCCCAGGCCTTTCTGTAAAGATGGAATATATCAGTCAACTGTTTCAGGTACCTCCCCCACAAAAGGTTCCAAATTTTAGATATACATGAAGCTCATAAAAGCGAAATTAACATCCAATTTTATCCAGACTTGGTACATATTTCCATTAACACAAGATCTGTTTAAATATGGTAGATATCGGACCATTCCTTCTGGTACGTCCCCCACAAAGGGTCAATGTTTTGAAAACCCAAAAATTTCATAAAATATAAAATAAGCCTCCGGTTCTCTTCAAATTTTCCACACCTCAATATTTCTACTAACACGAGATCTGCTGTTAAGATGGGTTATATCTGTCCACTCCTTCTAGTACCTCCCCAATGAAGGGTCATAATTTTCAATATCCATGAAGCTCATAAAACGCGAACTTTACATCCGTTTCCATTCAGACTTGGTACATCTCAATATTTCTGTCAGCACAAGATCTGTTATAAAAAAGGTAAAGATCGGACCATTTCTTCTAGTACCTCCCCCACATAGGGTTCAAGATTTGGAAAAACAAAACGTTAAAAAAAGGAAATAAGCATCTAACTCTCTTCAAATTTCACACACACAACATTTGTGCTAACACAAGATCTGCTGTGAAGATGAGAGATATCAACCAAGCCCTTCTGGTACCTTACCCACAAAGGTTCATAATTTTCAATACTTTTCGTCTATCATAATTTGCGAAACAAGTGAGCGATGCTTTACAACTTGCTATATATAAATATTTATCTCAACCAGAAACCTGAGATGAAGGTGGAGTTTATGATTTCGCAAAAAATTGGATATAAATGTTCGATTTTCTTGTAATTCGGTCCATACCAATATTTTTATCTGTATTAGATGAAGTGGTACAATACTTCGGGCGAATATATCTGGTAACTCACGTACTCTTTAAAATTTTCTAAAAATTGTCATATATCTCATATAAAGTGAAGGATGTTACCAACCTAGCACGTCGCAATACTTTTACGATATTTATTTAGCTCCGATACGAAATGGACAATATTGACCCATTTTTTTGAAACCTACTCCATGGAGGATCAACAATTGTAATAATCATAACATAAGTCAAAATATATTTAAATAATGGAACAATGGCTGAGGGTATACTTCTGTGGGAAAAAGACCGACTGATACTTTTTAATTAGTTTTCTCCTAAATTTACTTCGGTTGTATGAAGGGGTCTCTAGCGTATCAGTCAATCACTTAGATAACTTGAATGAATTTTACAGAATTCAAAAAAAAAAAAAAACAGTAAAGAAAGTCTTAAAATCGGGCGGGGCCGACTTTATCATACCCTACACCACTTTGCTAATTTAGTAGAGCTGCGCATAACAATTAAAAGTTTTTATGGGAGAATTCAATTATACACGCTATGATTATAATTATAATTTAAAATTCAAAGTAATAAATATGCCGAAGCATTCATATCTTTTAAATTCGGACTTGTATTGCCCATTTGGTGCACAATTAATTTGAAATCGGATAAAGATATAAATGGGAGCTATATCCAAATCTGAACCGATCTCGAAAAAATTTGGCAAAGATATTTCTGAGCTGTATTTTCTATATTTCCCCAAATATTGTTGTTACGAAGTGCATATTACGGCTGCGGAGGACAAAAATAACAAATCGGACGAACAACATATATTGGAGCTATAGCTATATCTGAACCGATTTCGATCAAATTTGGTATACTTATTTTCAGGCCTTATTTGGTTGTATGTACACGTTTGGTGCACAATAAAAGGCAAATCGGACGAACATATATATGGGAGCTATATCTAAATTTTCAATAGGGTTCGTCCTTGGGCCCAACAAATGATTTGTGCAAAATTTCATCTGGATCGGGCCATAAATGCGAACTGTACTTTATGTACAAAAATACATGGACAGACGGACGGACATGCATAAATCGACTCAGAATGTGATTCTATGCAGATCATCAAAAGGATGTATGGGTCGATCTCGTTTCCTTTTGCCTGTTACAAACAAATGCACAAAGACATAATACCCTGACCACTTTGTGGTGTAGGGTATAAAAAATCACCCACTGTGTTAGGCAAATATTTTTTATGAATGAATGAGTGTCTTAAACACAAGCATCAGACACACACACACACGAAACTATGCTGTACTATCAAAGAACAATTAACTGGTAGTAATCGCCGTAGTAGGGTAGTGGGGCCAATGATTCAGCGAATTGAGGTGGGAGAATTGTCTACAGAAAAAAAAGGTACAAAACGAAACACACACTGACTGATAACCATCTAACCAGATCACAACACACAAATCATTTGACAATTGAAATCAACAGCAACAACAACAGAGACAATAGAAATAGAAGCAAAAATAGAAGAAATATTTTAAGTATTCAATTCAATTCAAAAAAAATATTCAATTTTTAATAACTCATTATGGCTGTGATTTACGGGCAGCATTCATATGCACATGGAGACTTAAAAAAACGACAACAACAACAGCAACAATTAAAGTATCTTAAACTAAGCTGTAATTTGTATGCTTTTAATTTTCTATTATTCGTTTGATTTGATTTTGTTTTGATTGTTGTTGTAATCGTTTTATTGTTTATTAAGCGTTGTTTCCGCCAATTTGTTCTGTTTTTTTTTTTCGAAAAAAAAAAAATTGTGTGGCCGATATATGTGTCCGGCGTGTTAATGGAATGTTTAAATTTGGTGCTTGTCCACTTGAAACGAGTAGAAGAAGAAGAAAAAAAGCAACGATTTGAACCGAATCTAAAGTCAATGACGGACGGGGGATGTTTGTTGGCCTGTGTATCGATCGATCGATAGATGCTTAGATGGATGCTTAAGATCTGAAGGCCTCTGTTTGGCCTTTTCTTAGCCACCACCACCACGAGGTACTTGTTTTTTCACTGGGCTTTTAATTTGATTGTATAAATAGTCAACGATGTTCTTTATTTGACAACAGTTCCCATTACAAACTCCACGAATTAACAGAGCTTTTCTTTTGTCTTGTCGCGAAGCATCGATCGGGTGGTAGTGAAATTAAACACGGAAAAAACGGAAGTAATCTTTTTCATAAATAAAAATGGTAAGTTCTAAGGAATTTGAGGCAAAAAATATTTGGATTACAGTGTAAAAAGTGTTGAATTGAAAGATTATATGAAAATTTATGGTGAAATAATGGACCTAATGTGAATCCCTCAAAACCATTAGAATATTGAATTAAATGCGTGCAAAAAAGTGTTAAAAATTGAGAATTATTTGATGGATTTTAAGCTGCAGTATTTACAGTCATTCAACAGTGGAGTAGAATATTTTTTTAAATGAAAAACGAAAAAAATTGCGAAATTATCTTAGGCTGAAGTCCATTCAAGAATCGTTCGTCGAACACATAAAAATTAAAAAAATAATAATAAATTAATTTAAAAAAAAATAAAAAAAATTAAAAAACATTTTTGAAATTCACATTCATTTTAAGGTATAATGCTCATAAATGTGTCGGAAAAGTTTAAAATAATTGAAATAGAACTATTATAAAATAAAAATCTAAAGAAATATTCTGAGAAGGCGAGCTGAAATCACACAAAATTCAATGTTTGAAAACTGTGAAAAAAATTATAAAATCTCCAAATACTGTAGTAGACTATGGGAAATTTTGTAATTTTGATTAAAATTTATGTCAAAATTACAAAATTTTCGAAAATTGACTTATTATACCCTCCACCCTGGAAAGGAGGGTATATTAACTTTGTCATCCGTTTGTAACATCCTTAAATATTCGTCGTAGACCCCATAAAGTATATATATTTATAATCAGCATAAAATTCTAAGTCGATTTAACGATGTCCGTCCGTCTGTCTGTCTGTCCGTCCGTCTGTTGAAATCACGGTACAGCCCATATTATTTGACGTAGAGCGCCAAAATTTTGCAGAACAATTTGTATTGTGTCTAGGATGGTTGGTATTGAAAATGAGATATATCGGTCCACGTTCTGGTATAGTCCCCATATAACGGTACCTCCCGATATTCGGTATTTTGATGATTTATGCCACATTTTTTCACTGATTTGTTTGAAAATTGGTATTTATAGGTCATAACGGGTCCCAGTTCGTGTGGCAAAACATTATATGTATAGATCAACGCTTTGGTATAGCCCTCATATAATGGTACCTCCCGATATTCGGTAATTTGATGATTTTTGCCACATTTTTTCAGGGATTTGTCTGAAAATTGGTATTTCTAGGTCATAATGGGTTCTAGCTCCTTTGGCGAAACATTGCATATGTAGGTCCACGATTTGGTATAGCCCCCATATAAGGGCACTTCTTTTCTAATGTTTCCTTTACTCTAAGGTGGAGAGTATTAAAAGTTTGGCCAGGCCGAACTAAATGTTTTTTTTAACTTGTTATACCCTACACCACAGGGTGTTCAAGGTATTATGTCTTTGTGCATATGTTTGTAACAGGCAAAAGGAAACGAGATAGACCCATAGTTCCTTTTGATGATCTGCATGGAATCACATTCTGAGTCGATTTATGTATGTTCGTCCGTCTGTCCATGTATTTTTGTAAACAAAGTACAGTTCGCATTTATTGCCCGATCCAGATGAAATTTTGCACAAATCATTTGTTTGGCCCAAGGACGAACCCTATTGAAATTGGAGATAATCGATCAAAATTTAGATATAGCTCCCATATATATCTTCGTCCGATTTGCATTTTATTGTGCACCAAACGTGTAATATCAGCCCGAATAGTATGGACTTTTGCACATACAACCAAATTAGACCTGAAAATAAGTATGCCAAATGTGATCAAAATCGGTTCAGATATAGCTATAGCTCCCATATATATTATGCATCCGCTTTGTTATTTTTGTCCTCCGCTGCCGTAATATGCACACTGTGACAACAATATTTGGGGAAATATATCAAATACAGCTCAGAAATACCTTTGCTAAATTTTATCGAGATCGGTTCAGATTTGAAAATAGCTCCCATATAACTTCGTCCGATTTACCTTTTATTGTGCACCAAACATCTAATATTTTTCCCAAATGGGATGGAATTTGGCACTAATGACCGAATTGAGTCAAAAAGCTACAGTATTTTTTGCTTACCTGCACAATCAAAAATTGCATGACATCTTGTGCAACAATGCCCAAAATGCAGGTAGCTTCATTGCACTTATCTGCACAATGAAGCAGGTATCTTTAATTTTACTTACGTGCACAAAAAGTGCAGGTATCTTTAATTTTCTATTCGTATGCATTTGAGCATCAGTGGTGTTTTATCCAGCATAACCATATTTTAGTGTGGGAGAGGAAGCGAGAATATGTTTTTAATGCATGCTCTTTTCTTGTGTTGTTATTGTTTTTGCGAATACAAAAACAAAAACGAAGTGGTAGTTTTTAGTGTCTTTTTTGAGTTTGCAAAAATTTTCTTGTGCAGATAAATACAACTTTTGTAACCAAATTAAAAAAAAATTACCAAATTTTCGAGGCAGGAATGTCCAATGTGCAGCTATCGATTGGGCACTTAAATACAATTCAAATAAAAAAAATAAAAAATGGCATAACAAAAGGTTTTTGGTCTGCAAAGGCCAATGCGCAGCTAATGTTGATGCAGGTAAATAGAAACCACTGTAGTATGTCAAATTTGGTGAAGATCGGTTCAGATATAGCTATACCTCCCTTATATATTGTGCATCCGATTTGTTGTATTTGTTACCCACAGCCATACTATGCACTCCGTAACAACGATATTCAGGGAAATATATTAAATACAGCTCAGAAATATCTTTGCCAAATTTTATCGAGATCGGTTCAGATTTAGATATAGCTCCCATATATATCTTTATCCGATTTCAAATTAATTCTGCACCAAATGGGCAATACAAGTCCGAATTTAAAAGATACAAATGCTTCGGCATATTTAGTCCTTTGAACTTTAAATTGTACTTATAATCATAGCGTGTAAGATTGAATTCTCCCATAAAAACTTGTAATTGTTATATGGAGCTCAACTAAATTAGTAAAGTGGTGTAGGGTATCGCAAAGTCGGCCCGCCCCATTTTAAGACTTTCTTTACTGGTTTAGTACGTGTTTCCAAAACCAACTTCAAATCTTAACCGTAGACGCCTAATGAAAAATTGCAAATTTCAAGCACTACTCTTTCACCCATTGATGTCACATTCAATTCTAGGTCAATAAAATCAAACAATAAAAACTTCATTTCCTCCTCCTCCTTTAACCTTGACCCAATATTAGCCATTATACAGTAACAATATTTACTCATGCCTCTCCTTCTCTTTTCTCCACTCTCTCTCTCTCCCTCTCTCTTTTCAGAAAACACTTCTGGTATCATTAGCAATTATTGCTGTTGCCACAGCTGATGTTTCCCATTTAACAAATCGTTATTTGCCACCAAATCATCAGCATCATCAGCAGCAACACCAGCCCCGCCACCAAAGACCTTCAAACGAACGTGTCGAAACGACCATCGAACAACATGAAGTCATTGAATTGCCGACACAAATTGAAATTGTCAAGGATGGCCAACCTATCTATGGCATCCAATCGATGCCCAGTCGCATTGAAACAGCGCCTGAAGTGAGGAGCCGTTATTTGCCTCCTCCACCCCCACCACAAGAAATTGAAAATCTCCAGCCACCACCCAGCACAGTCGAGACACGGGAACAAGAAGTGCCATATGAAATGCCCATGAGAACATATTTGCCACCCGTCGAAACAACTACGGCTCCAGAGACAACCACCACCACAGATGTGCCTACAACAACAACAGAAATGATGTCCACTACAACAACTGACATGACCCCTGACACCACCACCACCACCTTTACCACTGAGGACACAACTACAACGGAACAGATGAGTACAATGGCCATGTCCACCACCACGGAGCAAGAGAATTTCGAAAGCACCACCACCAACACAGAGGCAGCTGAAACTACAGCCATGCCAAGCAATCCTTATTTGCCGCCCACTGCAATGCCCAAGAATCACTATCTGCCACCTCAAATGCCCCAGAACCACTATCTACCTCCCCCTGAGAACAAATATCTTCCTCCCTCACAAACTCCCGAAAAGCAGTATCTGCCACCCACAAATCACTACCTTCCACCTGGTATGCCTGAAAACCAATACCTGCCACCCACTGGCGAACCAGAAAAACAATATCTTCCTCCCGTTGCCGTGCCTCAGTCACAATTTTTGCCACCTGAAGTTCCCGAGAATCACTATCTCCCCCCGGCCAATGCTGTGCCCGAAAACCAATATTTTCCACCCATGGATGTAATGATGCCCCCAGCCGAGGCCATGCCCCAGCCCAGCTATCAGGAGTACCAGGAACAATTGTTGCGCGAACAACAGCAACAACAGGCCTATCGCGAGGAACAGATGTCCGACATGATTGATGCCATCGCCCAAATGGAAGAGCAAAATATGATTGCTTTCGATGAGGCGAATCAAGATGACCAGCAACAACAGCCACAGCCACAAATGCAACCTGTGGCCCCCGTCGAGCCCGGCCATGTTCTAAGGGAAGATGGTTATCATTACAAAACAGGCGATGATAATTTGAGACGTTTCCGTTATCGTCATTGAATTGACGTTCTGTAAATGGAAGAGTCATGTTTGATTATATTTTTGTTGTTATTGTTTTTGTGCATATGTACCATTTAGTTGTTAAATGTTTTTTTTTGTTCTTGTTGTAATAGTTTATAAAGAAAACGACTGTTAATTTTATTAAAAAAAAGAAAGAATGAAATTTAAAACGAACGGAGTGGATTTTCTTCAATTGTATAACAGTGTTCTGATCTGATTAGGTTATTTTTGGAAGAAAACAAATTTAAGGGTACAAAAGTACCAAAAGGTACAAAATAGTACCGTATTGTTAATAAGTGATTAGTAAGAGGTGACCCTTTGAAAGTTGTTCACCATTTATGTAACAGATTGTCATAGGGATGACCATTGGGAAAAGGTAACCAGTAAAGAAAGACTTAGAAGAAAGGCGGGATCGACTTTATGATACCCTACACCACTTTGCTAATTTAGTAGAGCTCCACATAACAATTAAAAGTTTTTATGGGAGAATTCAATCATACACGCTATGATTATAATTATAATTTAAAGTTCAAAGGACTAAATGTGCCGAAGCGTTTGTATCATTTAAATTCGGACTTTTATTGACCATTTGGTGCAGAATTAATTTGAAATCGGATAAATATATATATATATGGGAGCTATAACCAAATCGGAACCGATCTCGATAAAATTTAGCAAAGATATTTCTGAGCTGTATTTGATATATCTCCCTGAATATCGTTGTTACGGTGTGCATATTACGGCTGTGAGTAACAAATATAACAAATCGGATGAACGGTATATATGGGAGCTATAGCTATATCTCAACCGATCTTCATCAAATTTGACATACTAGCTTCTGGACTCAATTCGGTCGTAAGGGCCCAATTCCATCCCATTTGGACAAATATTAGACGTTTGGTGCACAATAAAAGGTAAATCGGGCGAAGTTATATATGGGAGCTATATCCAAATCTGAACCCAACTCGATAAAATTTAGCAAAGGTATTTCTGAGCTGTATTTGATATATTTCCCCAAATATTGTTGTTACAGAGTGCATATTACGGCTGCGAAGGACAAAAATAACAAATCGGATGAAACAAATATATGGGAGCTATAGCTATATCTGAACCGATTTTGATCACATTTGGCATACTTATTTTCAGGTCTAATTTGATTGTATGTGCAAAATTCCATACTATTCGGGCTGATATTACACGTTTGGTGCACAATAAAAGGCAAATCGGACGAAGATATATATGGGAGCTATATCTAAATTTTGATCGATTATCTCCAATTTCAATAGGGTTCGTCCTTGGGCCAAACAAATGATTTGTGCAAAATTTCATCTCAATCGGATAATAAATGCGACCTGCATTTTGTTCACAAGAATACATGGACAGACAGACGGACGGACGGCCAGACGGACTGACATGGATAAATCAACTCAGAAAGTGATTGTATGGAGATCCTCAAAAGTAATTATGGGTCTATCTCGCTTCCTTTTCCATGTTACAAACAAATGCACAAAGTACCCTTACCACTATGTGGTGTAGGGTATAAAAATGGAATTTTTGCTACTTTAAAGTTGCGAAAGTTCCAAAAGGTACAAAATTGCACTACATTATTATTGATCAATTGAAAAGACGTAGAACTTTAAAATTTGGTATGAGGGTAACTCATTACGCAAAGGGGTATGGGAAATGAGTACTTTAAGAGTACGAAACGCACTAAAGGGAATAACATTGTAAAGATTGGTTATTGGGTGATTGGTAACAGCCAAAGTTTTGAAAAGGCAACGGGATGGGATAAGGGGTAATTTTTGAAAATTCGCACTCTAGGAATACAAAAAGCTGCGAATGGTACAAAACGATACGACATAATTGTTTAGAGACTGCTAAGAGGTAGAGCATTGAAATATCTGATTTTCGAGAAATTCGTACTTTATGGACACTTATATTACAAGGTAAGAATTTGAATTCTAAAATTTGGTACGAAGTTATGTCGTAGGTAAATCTTATAAAAAGTTGATTTAAAATATTATATATTTTTCGTACTAAAAGGTACTAAGTGCGAAGAAGAGGAGATGAAAGTCTGAATTTTGGCAAGAAGGTAACTTCTGGTGTAAAGAAGCATGAATTACTGGATATATGTATATATTTTAAAAAATTACCAACCCTCCACCATTCTATGGAGGGTATATTAACTTTGTCATTCCGTTTGTAACTCCTCGAAATATTCATAATAGACCCCACAAAGTATATATATTCTGCATCAGCGTAAAATTCTAAGACGGTCCAGCTATGTCCGCCTGTCTGCCTGTTATAATCACGCAATTTTTCGAACGAATTGAGATAGAAGGCTAAAATTTTGCATACATGCATAGTTTACCAGTAGGCAGGTTAAATTCGTAACTGGGCCATATCGGTTCCCGTTTTCGTATAGCCCCCATATAACGGTACCTCCCGATATTCGGTATTTTCAAGATTTTAGCGACACTATTTGCCGGAATTATTTAGAATTTCGTATTTGTAGTTCGTAATGGGTACTACAACCTATGACAAACATTTTTATATGCAGGTCCACGTCTTTGTATAGCCCCCATATAGCGGTACCGCCCTATAGTCGGTATTTTGACGATTTCAGCAAAATTAGTCACCGAAATCGTTTCAAATTTTGTACTGGAAGATCCTAATGGGTACTACAGCCTATGACAAAAATTGTTGAATGCAAGTCCAATTCTTCGTATAGCCCCCATATAAAGATACCTCCCTATATTCGGTATTTTGATGATTTCAGCAACATTATTCACCGAAATCGTTTCAAATTTTGTACTGGAAGATCCTAATGGATGCTACAAACTAATTGTTTGTGCAGGTCCACGTCTTCGTATAGCCTCCATATCACGGTTTTCATATTCTGATGCGATATCCAATAAATTTTATTTCAACACACAATTTTCTCACAATTCACACATTCGATATAACCCCTCATTGGCTAGCCCTTGAGCTACCTCGTCCATCGTCATCCTCCACAGAGGCATTCTCCGGCAGGGTCTCAACTCTGTGCAGCATAAATTGGACATTGTAATAGGGAATATTCAGAGTGACCACAAGGCAATAGAGTAAAATTTGTAAATATTTTGTACGCAAAACATAGGCGGCCCCTTGGCCCTTGGGAAACAGCGGATGTTCACGACTCTGACAATCGAACATAAAATAGCCACCATCATGACCGGGCAGGCGACCAAAAGCCAGACATTTCCTCGAGCATTGTAACAAACCAAATTGCTGATGGGTGTTGAAGAAGTACATCAGGGCCTCGGCTAAATTCATACGATTGAAATTGGGTCGGCAGTACAATTGGCCATAGCACAGTGGCTCAATGTGAACCGAAAATTTCACATTATCCAGTCGGCATTCTACATCCAGATCTTCGGCCCGCATTTCATAGTCACGTATTTTAATGTCGGCAATACTCTGCTCGTGATACCCGTCTCCATTGATGATAATCGCATCCATAAGTTGAGAACTCCAATCGGCCAGGCGATATAATCGAGCCGCACACAAAGCCATAACACAGCAGGCCAAATATTGTTTGCCACGATTTTTACTATCAAACACCGGGGCTTGAGGATGTAAATTACCCCAGAGGGACCACAGGCGATTTTCAATTTCAATATCAAATTTCTTATATTTCGATACGGCTGTTCCGCGATATATCCCTGCGGCATTTCTTCGATTCAAACGACTCCAAATGGGTAGGCAATGTTCCAGCCAGGCAGGGGTTTCGTTGTGGGCACATATTGCCGCTTCCTCCTCGCCGGGAATGTTACAGGCATCAACTCCTGTTAGCAGTTGAAGGATGTTGGCCGTGAGAGGAGATTTCTTGTAGGAAATGATGTCGACAACCTGAAAAAATCAAAAGTTTTTATGAATTGTGATATCTGAATAGATCGGCAGGGGACCTGTGAAAGGCAACTACCTGTCCACAGAAGAGCTGTTAAAGGTCTTCTGTCCATAGGAGAGCTGTTAAAGGCCTTTTGTCCACGGAAGACCATTTAAAGACCGTACGATCCTAAAAGGCCTTCTGTCCCAGAAACACAGTTAGAGGAGTCTGCCCAATGGAAAACCTGCTAAAAAGCTTCTGTCTACAGGAGATCTCTTAAAGGCTTTTTGTGTATAGCAGAACTTTTAAGGGTCTCCTACTGACAGAAAGACCTGTTAATGGACTTCTGTCCACAGAAAACAAGTTAGGGGCCTGTAGAGATCTATTTAAGGCCTTCCGTCATCCAAAATCCTATTAATCGACCTCTGTCCACAGAAGACACAGAAGACTTGCTAAAAGCTTTCTTTCCACAGAAGGCTTGCTGAAAATCTCTGGCCAACGGAAGACCTATTTGTGGTCTTCTATCCACAGAAAACGTTTTAAAGGACTTCTGTCCCCAGAAGACCTTTTAAAGGACTTCTGTCCCAGAAGACCTCTGAGAGGACTATCCCCAGAAGTTCGTTTAAAGGACAGAAGTCCCCAGAAAAAAAGAACTTCTGTCCCCAGAAGACCTTTTCAAGGACTTCCGTTCAAAGGACAGAAGTCCCCAGAAAAAAAGGACTTCTGTCTTCTGGGAACAGAAGTCCTTCAACTGGTCCTCTAAAAGGACTTCTGTCCCCAGAAAAAAAGGACTTCTGTCCCAAGAAGACGTTTTGAAGGAGGCTTGCTGAAACTCTCTGGCCAGAGTATCCGCTCCCAGCAGATACTGATAAGCCTGTTAAAGGACTTCTGTTCCCAGAAGACCTTTTATAGGACTTCTGTCCACAAAAGATCTGTTAGAAGCCTTCTGTCCACAGAAGACCTGTTAGAGGCTTTTGTCCTGTTGTGGGTCTCTGATCAAAAGTAGACTTGTTAGAGGCCTAATGTCCCCAGAAGATCTGTTAAAGGCCTTTTGTTCCCAGAAGACCTGTTAAATATCATAACCTTTTAGAGACCTTCTACCCTTTTAGAGACCCCAAAAATCATTTAAAGG